AACCGCGGTGTCTCGGCGCCGCGAGCGCCCGCGTCCCGCATCGCCGTTGTTGCGGAGCCCGGACGGGTCGGCCGGAGGCGCAGCTTGTGCGCTAGAATCGCTTTACGCTTGGAAAATGAATTATTTCTCTCTTTGAGCTAGGACATCGAGCCTAAGTTTTATTGTCATTCTGACTTGGCGTTAGGAATTCTCCGGGAATCTATAGAAAGGAGCATGGTAAAAATTTATTACTAAACTTCCTTGAAGTCACACGTTGGGCAATATTTGTGTGCCCTTTTTAAGTACGCGGAAGCCTGCCTATTCCTAGTGCATGCACCCTTGGCTGCCTGAGCAGCTTTGCAGAAACAAAATGCACAGGACGTGTCTAGAGTCTGAGACACGATACTTCTTTCTAATATTTTTTGTAAGAAGTAGGTTATTGGCTTATGTTCCCTATCAAAAATGGTTAATGTGAAAAGCTCTTGAATTAAAAAACAACGTGAAAGAGTAGAGAAAAAATGAATATTGGTAGTTGATGGGAAATACAATTTTCAACGCAGTGTTAATTCGATAATTAGTGACTTTGAAAATTAATTGTTTGTCTATGGGATGTAGTGCAAAGCGTAAAATATCTTTGTTACAGATGCGGCATTCCAGGCGAACTAATTATCCTGACTGGGATAAAAAGGAAAGTCCGGATCGCAGAAGATGTGACAGTGCTAATAAGAGAAAGAGGAGATCATTAAGTGGTGCACAGGAGAACAAGCACTGCAAACATGATCTTTCTAAACTTCCTGACAGGTAAATAACTTTTTGAGTTCTGATATCAGCAAGCATCTGTTACAAGATTTTATTATTCTCATCAGGTCATCTGATAATGTGTTCATTTTGGAGTTGGAATATTTCAAGAGAGATGTTTTACAGTTCAAAACAAAAAGCTGTCTTGGTAGGGGTACCAGAATTATTTTAGTGAAGTTTATTTGATCTTTCTTTGTAGTTCCTGTTCAGAAACCAAATCTGTTAATGAAAGAGACCATCATGAACGACGCTATGTTGAAGAATACAGAAATGAGTACAATCAAGGATGTGATACTGGGCATCACAGTAGCAAATCATCAGGTCATAGTGGGACAAGTAGTTACAAAAGGAAATACAACACACATCATACTACGTGTCGTCATCATCATTCACAGGTGGTGTGAATTTTAATTTAGGATTTTTTTTTTTTAAGAGGTTAGGTTCTCATCTGGGCAGTAATAATTGAGTGTGTGGGTTTGGGGATTTCTGTTGGTAATAGTTTATTTCTGTAGCTAATACTAGTAGATTATTCTTTTTACTAGGATTTTATTTCCTTCACTGAAAGTGTATAGTTTGTACATATGCTTGTGATACCACAGAACATAGTCTTGCTATTTGTTCATTGGGTATATTTGAGCAGATTAATGAATAATAACCATCAATTGGAGTACTTGGAATACAGGCATCACTTTTACGCCTTCAGAAATTTTATTACAACATTTATTTCAGCCCTACTCAATCTAAGCACAAGCTTTTAAACTTGCTTTTGACTAAGTATCACTGAAATAGCAAGGAGATCATGTCAGATTTTTATGTTTTAAAAAAACTTACTTACTAAGATGTTTTAAGGATCGCTGAAAAACCAGTAGAGTCAGATACGTACGATATCTGCCCACTAGCAGGGCAGTTTTTCTCATCTTTGTTACATATTTAACTCTTAAAAAAGCTGAAGATAGAATTTATAATTAAAGATCTTCAGCTGAGACAGCGTAAAATGTATATGCTATTTATGATTTTTTAAAGAATAAATTTTGTCAAATATTCAGACTAGTGATTTAATCTTGATTACATAAGATGGGTATTTTAATTTGGCCACAAGGCTATTTTATTTATATATATCTATATAAAAGATAATTATTAAATCCTTTTGCTTTAAAAAAATAATATGAGCACTGAAATCCTAAAGTAAAATTCAGTGAATCAATCTTTTGAAAAAACAGTTGTGTTGTAATTTTTTGTTGCCTTGCCACTTTGTGTATCTCATCTGAAAATCTGTTCCTTGCCATGTTTTTCTCCTGTAACATAAACTATGTGCCCTGTGAATTTCCGGGGACTGAATTTGAAATTGCTCCTGCCAACCGTTTGTGGCCTGGCGTGTATCTGAATGCCTGAATATCTCCCTGCTGAATGAATTTCGTATTCTGACCTGAATTCACTCGGGTTTATTGCTTGGCTGGACGATCTTGGTGCCATTCCAGAAGAGTCATCGAAGGAAAAGATCCAGGAGTGTAGAGGATGATGAGGAGGGTCACCTGATCTGTCAGAGTGGAGACGTACTAAGTGCAAGATGTATAGAATATTTTTCAAAATTTATTAACTTTAAAGATAGAATAAGTTCTTATAGCGTAAGATGCAAGGGGGCTTTGGAAGTCTTTTCTTTCTGTCTTTTTTTGTTTGGGGGTGGAGATTGTTATTCTTTAGAACTTAAATATGTTTCTTTTTTCTTTTTCCCTCCCCCTTCCCCCCCAAAAATAGTAAATGAAGTTAATGAACCTACTAGAATGAGATCCCTGTAAATGTCTTAATGAGAGTTGTCCAATAACATCTCTCAAACTAGATATTTACAATTTAAAGCAGCACAGTCTAGAATAATTGTCAGTGATAGTACTTAGTCTGTATTTGTTTGCTTGTTTTTTTAATAGCTGAGTAACTGACTTCACAACTTCTGTGACTGAGAGCTCTTTTCTTTATAGATGAGATTGTTGCCACTTTAGGTGAAGGTGCTTTTGGAAAAGTAGTGGAATGCATCGATCATGAAGCGTAAGTCTTTTTAATTAAATACATGTAACTTTTTCTTACTGATACTATGACAGTGTGGTTTGTGAAGTGCTTGCTGGTTGTATCAGGTTTTATCTTTACTTCCTCTCATGCTGCTCCATATATTTCTTCAAGGCTGCTGCAGTTCGTAAACATACATTTGTGTTAGTATGTCATCCTAAAAAGGACACCTAGACATGAGGGTTGTGCAGGACTGGTGGATGAGGCGATGGGTACATCCTCTGCAGGCACACCCTAGCCTGGTAGAGATCAAGGGCTGATGAGGGAAGGGGCCTAAAGAATGTGGAGTGAAGCTGCACCTCGGATGTGGGGCAGTCCTAGGGCCTGTGCCACCCCAGGGCTGTATCATAAGTAGGGTCTCTGACAATCCTGTAGCTTACCTTAAGGTATGATCTGTGGTGATGCAATGTGTTTGGGTGAGTATATTCTAAGTCAAGAATGTATTTTGTGTTTGATGGCAGTTTTGCTGTGCAAAATAGTATGAAACTGGATTTTCTTTTTAGTTACTGTAAGAAGGCATTTGACACCTCGGATTAGAATTTTACAATTTAAACGACTGAAGGCGGCTTGTCATTTTTGACTGGCAGGCGTGTTAGGCTGTGGTATGTGGAAGTTTCTTCAATATTAGCCCAAAATACATAAATACATAAATAGAAAGGGGAGGTAAACGGGGCTTTTTACCTCAGTAAAAAGATCAGTATTCCTCTTAAGGATTTTGAGTATATTTTCAAAATTTAAAGATTAAATATCAGTTGTGTTTGTGCATAGATGAACTTTGGTTATACTGAGTCAGTATGTACTTAAAAAAAAAAAAAAGACCTTTCCTGGTGAGGTTCCCGTTGTTATAAACAGTGTATATGGTGATAATTACTGAATATTCTTAGTTAAAACTACTCATTGTTCTAATCACTGTTAAACCCTGTATTTTCAGGGAAGACAGACATGTAGCCGTGAAAATAGTGAAAAATGTTGATAGGTACTCTGAAGCAGCTCGTGCAGAAGTACAAGTACTGGAACATTTAAATGCAGCGGATCCTAGCAATACATAGTAAGTACACAAAGCCGACTTTGTTTTGGCTTTGATTTCTGTGATGTTGCTTTCTGTAATATATGATGTATGTGTCTGAGCATTATACAACATCCTGTTGTAATTCATGTATTTTCCTGCTCTTGCAGTCGCTGTGTTCAGATGTTAGAATGGTTTGAGTACCACGGACATGTCTGCATTGTTTTTGAGCTGCTGGGGCTCAGCACCTACGACTTTATTAAAGAGAATGGTTTTCTGCCGTTCAGGCTGGACCACATTAGACAGATGGCATATCAGATCTGCAAATCTGTGAACTGTAAGTATGTTTCTTTTTTTGCCTTATTTGTTAAATGTTCTTCATGGAATTTGCTAACTATATTTGTCATCTTGCAGTTTTGCATTTGAACAAGTTGACACATACGGATTTGAAACCAGAAAATATTTTATTTGTGACGTCTGACTATGTAGAAGAGTATAACCCCAAACTCGTAAGTTGCTTGTCCTCTTCCCCACCTCCCTCTCAGCCATTGTCTGGGTTTATCTGGTCACTTGCATCCCATTGTGCTTGATTTCAGAAATGCGATGAACGCACGTTAAAAAATCCAGATATCAAAGTTGTGGACTTCGGGAGCGCAACGTATGATGACGAGTATCATAGCACTTTGGTGTCTACAAGACATTACAGAGCTCCTGAAGTTATCCTAGGTCAGTAGAAGTCTGTTAGGCTGATCTTTTGCATAAAATTTTTTGTATGCTATTGAACAGTGCTTAGGAAGTGTGGCGTATCTTGCTTGAGCTGTTGAACTGTTCGCAGTCTGGTATAAACACAAACCTTCTGAATCTTTTCACAGCACTGGGATGGTCACAACCATGTGATGTTTGGAGCATCGGATGTATTCTCATAGAATACTACCTTGGATTCACAGTATTTCCGGTATGTAACTAATGAACCTCAAAATGATGCAGCATATGTAATGCTCCCCAGCTTGGTGAAAATATGCTACAGAGAGGTGGGGACTGAGGGGAATGGTCTGTACAAGAAATTAAGCTGTGTTTCTCTGTAATGCCAAGTTGAAGAGAACAGTAGATGAAGGCACGAAGGAACTTTCTCAGCAGGCTAAGATTTCTACAAGTTGCTTTCAGTAAACATTTTGGCCGCGGCTTGATGTGAAGAATCACTGCGAACATTTGTAATTTAGCAGCCATGCTAAAACCAGATGTCGCTTCGCCTATCGCCATCAGCAAATGCTACTAAAATACCCAAATTCTGTCATCTTGACAGTATTGCTGAAGCTTGAAATTTATTAATAAAAAAAAGACAGGCTAAAGGGAAAAAATACCAGTAGATTGTAACTTATTTCAGGAAACAGATGACTACAGCCTCTCTTTTTTTTTTTCTTAAGCTGAAATTGGTTATTGATTGCAGGATACAGTAAAAAATGAAGTAAGACTAATGTGTGGTTCTTGATAAGTTCCTGTACAAATGAACAAAAATGTCTTATCTTGAATTCCCTCCAGACCCGTGACAGCAAAGAACACCTTGCAATGATGGAACGAGTACTGGGGCCTTTACCAAATGACATGATCAGAAAAACCAGGTAATTAAATTTTTCTGGACAGCTATAGTTTAGTTTAAATACTTTAAGATTTTGTTCAATAGCTTTTTTTTTTTTTAATTATAAGCTCAGATTCATCTTTCTGCTTAATTTAACAAGCTGGCCACTCTTGTAGAATATTCCCACATCAGTTCCCAAGTTGTGAACAAACATGCTGATAAACTTCTAGTGAAGAGACAAAACAGAATCTTTGAATAACAAGCTGTGGTCTGTTTGTTTAAGGAAACGCAAATATTTCCATCATGACCAGCTGGACTGGGATGAACACAGTTCTGCTGGAAGATACGTCTCAAGGCGCTGTAAGCCCCTGAAGGTAAGATGACAGAAGAAAAATATTTTTGGGGAAAGGAGCTTTAAGTTCAATTACAAGATTACAAACACATTTTCTTGTTTCATTCATGAAGGAATTCATGACCTGCCATGATTCTGACCACGAGAATCTCTTTGACCTCATTCAAAAGATGCTGGAGTATGACCCAGCCAAGCGCATTACTCTTCAAGAAGCCCTGAAACATCCTTTCTTCTTCCCATTGAAACGGGGAAAAAAGGGCACTGTCTCCTGTACAGATGTCAGTCCACCAAAGAAACGTAAAATATGTTAAATATTTGTTGTTTTGTAAAAGCCCTATTTTTATTATGACTTTTTGGATACTGAAGTTTAATCCAGCTGCTGGCATAAAATTTATTTAAGAAAAAGTGGTGAACGTGGTTGCATTTCCTCAAGTAAATAAAAAATCTCGGGACGGTTGCACTTCTAACATGGAAGAGACCACTCTCTACCCACAGGCCTCCTAACAGGAAGAAAGTATTACTTTATTTTATTCAGCTATCACTGGAACAGCAAAAGACCTAGGACTAATTCTTACCCTTCCTTTCTGGGTAAGAGAACAGAGACAGCCTGTGACATTTAGTGTAAGGATGGCCTTTATTTGTTAAAAAAAAAAAAAAGGAAGATCACTGTAGTATTGAACACATTGTATTGTGATTAGCATTTTTTTTCCCTTTAGTAGGAGTAGTCTGGTTGCCAGTATTTCAGTTAATGCTCATTATTAGCTTACAACAGTATAGACTTCACTCTTTTACCAAATCTTTCTTGAATTGTGAGCTTTCACGAGAATTTCAGTTAAGGAGTCAAAGTTTTGGGAAGCAGATGAGCTGTTTGGTTTAACATGCCAACTGCCACCATAAAAGAATCTATGCTTAGTTTTGTCTGCCTTACCTTCCAGCAGTCAGACTTCTACAGAAAAGCACAAGCAAGCTATGTCGTCCCGTGCCCCCCCACCCCCAGCAGCACACGCCAGGACTCTGGAAAGTTGCTGGGCAGCTGCATGGGGAACAGCCTCTTCCACAAGAAGTAGCAAGGCTCCTGCAGAACTGGTGCCTCACTGCAAGGCAGCCTGGCAGCCCCTTGGGCACACAGGCCACCAGCTGTGACAACCAGCGGGCTCAGAGATGGCACTCTTCATACCCCACCGTGGTTACCCTTTGCTGCCACCAGAACAGCTCTGCAGTAGGACACTGAGCTCCCAGGAGTAGGGCAGCTGCTTCACCCAGCAGCTGGGACAGAGGATTGCTTTATACTAGAAGTAAGTAAAGAGATGACGGTCCTGGGGGAGAGGGACAACCACCTATGAACAGGGATAGTTGGAGCAAGTGGTACAGATGGAAGCATCACACCCAAGTTACCACACAAGCCATGGCCTCTTTGGAGGCTTTTTACAGTTTAATTTGCAAACAGAACTGCCGTAAATTTCATTCACCATATCATGTCTACTCAAATACAGATAGAAAACCCAAGGGGCAAAGTGGATTTCATTGTGGAAGGCCTTAAATTATGTTACTACAGTAGAAAATACAGGAGGTAGAATATAACTGAAAGGACAAATGCAGGTTAGAGTCAAATCTGTAACAGCTCTTGTAAGCTACTTAAAACATGGTTTTAAAAACTAAATCCAGTATTTCAGTAACTCTAGAAAAAAGTTAAAACAAATTGCCATGAGAGCCCTTATATCATGCTTGATACAGGGAGGTAGGATGTAAGAATCACAAGGACAGAAGACATGACACTTATCTACAGCTCCTGTTTGCTTTACTGAGGGACAAAGTTTCACAGGTCAGTCACCCTCTTCAGCTTCAGACTCCGACTCTGGAATAGAGAAACCTCATCAACAGGCTGCCAGGAGGTCAGCCCCCAGCCCTCAACTTCAGCCACTGCCCTGCATCCCATGCAACAGCTGTGACTGGACCCACGTGGAGTTCACTGGCAAGCTGCTCTAGCCAGTGCTGGGGGGCACACACAGAGGGGCAATTAACATACCTCACACCCCCCAAACAAAGCACTATTGCACTAAAGGTTCCCAAAATGAACAAACTCAACTTCTGAGCTAAGCTTCTGGTTACCTTCTTCAGCATTCTTGAGCCATTCAACAAACTTTTTAATCACTCAGAACTTCAGCTGTAAGATGTGCAAGAGCAGTATTAACACAGGAAACCACTGGATACCAGTTACTGAGAACCCCTGCCTGGCAGCCTTTGCTTCCTCTCCTAGAAGCATCACAATCCATACTCCTTCCCTGGGTATGGCTGGACATACCTACACCAAGAGTTCCTCCTATTTCAAAATTGAGAACCATGAACTTCAGATTGGCTGCTGAGGGCTTCCTGAGCACTGCATCCAGAAGCTGCACTTTCACTTCGAATAACAGTGTCTGAAGTGTTTCATAGCTATTTGAGATGAAACACTCTGAGGAAAGCTTCAGTCAACTGCTAACAACAGATGCAAACTCTTTAAAGCCCAAAGTGCATCACAGGAAGTGTTTGTTTTTTCAAGTAAAATATAACCTTCAGTTTAACAACAAATTCCCTTATGTTCCTATGGTGTTTCCACAGCATGTTTTTCAGTAACACCTTTTAACAACCATTTAATAGAGAGCCTACAGCACCCCACAACATCTTGGTGGTCTCAAATCTCTGGCTGTTCACAGTCAATGTTCAGAGAACTACGAAGAATACACTATCACTTACCTTCCCCTAACTTAAAAGGGCCCAAGGGCCTTTAAGTTTAGCTTTGATCTACCACAGCTCTTAAAGTCTAGTAGGCAGGCAGCATCCTTTGCTAAATGATTATTTCTTCACATGCCAAGGACAGCTGTATCCACCTTTGCATTTTACTGGTCCATCTTTGCAAACAGAAGGTGGAAAATTCTTGAGCTTATGAAGTGTAATATTGTAGCACTGATCTTCCCTAACAGTCTTATCAGGAATGAAGCATTCTGCAAATACAGGCTTAAAAAACCCCACAAACAAAAAACAACCCCAAAAACTATACAACCCCACAGAAGTTACCTTTATAGAAGAGCACCACTATTTTCTGGAAGGCCTTCATGAAGTGAATGTTGTCATAACAATACTCCTGAATCTTCAACAGAAGAGTCAGCTCTGACTGACCTTGGGTAGTAAACGCAGCAAGTAGAGGGCTGTATTGCTGTAACAGGAACAACAAGTTAGCACACAGAGAGCACTTCGCATTTACCACCTGACTAGACTGGTTTCACAGTTTCCATCAGCCACTGCTTTGCAGTTTTCAACCCTCTCCCCACCCCAGAGAGCCTCTGCAGAAGTCACTGCTTTTGCATCAGTAACTTGGACAGTATTCCCTGTCCAATGCTGTCTCTGCATTAGGAGGTTTGTAGGTTTTATCTCCTTTAAAAGGGAGCTGGAGACAGAGGGAAGTCCAAGCCCTACCCAACAGGTGCAAAAGTCCGCACTTAAGTTACAATACCTTCAAGTGCTTAATGGCTTGCTCTGCTACCAGCTCCTCCTTTTTGTTCCATTCCACCGTGCTCATTACACTTGACCAGATTATGGCTACCACAGTCTGTTCCAAGATGTTGTTTTTCTTCATCTCCTCCTTCACGTACAAGATTATCTGCCAGTCAAAGAGTCAGCATATAGGCTACATATGACACTAAGCTAAATTTAAACTTCTGCTCTAAAGGCAATCCAGAAGCTTTCAGAACCACAAACAACCCCCTTCATCATACAGCAGGATTCAGGACATTATGGAAAGACTATGAAGCTAATACCAGAACACCCTGGTTCTCATTTTAATTCTCAAGTGAGATCCAGGAGTTTAAAAGTTCAGTATTTAGTTGGGCATGTATCTTCAGATTAGTATTAGATGCTATTGTATTTCAGATACTTTAAGCTAAGTTCCTACAGAAAAAGAGAAAAAACCAACGACCTACACCTTGTGTATAGACAAATACTTACATCTTTGAACGGATCCCCCCGTGACATCTGCTCCTGAAGTTCTTTCTGCAGCTCTTTCCGAGCTCCTATGGTTTGCTGGTTCCGAACATACTCAGAAAGTTCTTTTAGTCCTGCTTCAGTGAAGTACTTGGAGAAGTGTTCAACACTCTGTTTGTTGGCTGGGAAGAGTTCCTGAAAACAAAGTTTACAACAACTCTTTCACAAAAGAAATGTGCATTGAGTACTTTGCTGACAAGTGCTATTTACTAAACTGGCCTAAGTAGTAAATCAGTAATTTCAGTCATACTCACCATCAGCCTGTTATCCATGTTTACTTTACGAAGACTGACAGCCACTGCATTAATATCTTTCTCATTTATCCATGATTTGAACAGTTTGACGGCAAAAGCCGCAGAAACACCTGTGCAACAGGAATAGTAGTTCAATATACTGAAATTCAAACAACTGGAATCACACAAGGGGCCTAGTTTGTCAGACCCCCGCTCAAAGCAGCAGCAGCTGTGATCAGAGGCAGCCCCAGCACAGTCTGCACCATCTCTGCCTAAGGATACTGCAGCCTCCAGCATGTTGGACATTTCTCACCACTCAGCAACATGAAGGCTTCCCTGCACTAAACTCACCTCTCCTTGATGCAATTTAGGAAGGAGCCTAAAGACATGACACACCTTCTGCAACCCAAAAGGACCCTCTCCAAAATACAGTACTGCCTTGCTGGGCAACACTAAGGACAGCAGCCCTCAGTGTCACGCAGGGCTGTCCTACACACAAGCTTTCTGAAAAGACTAGTTTTCTAAGTCTCAGCAAGACCTTCCAGGTTGTGAGACAGCATGTTTACCTTTGCTAATCCTGTAGTAAATCTATCACCAGATGAAACTGGTGAGCTGCAAGGGTGTACTGTCATCACAATTTCCACCTACGTGTCATGGTTCTGTTCCCCACTATCATTTGCTAAAGGAGGAGTTGGGGAACATTTACCTTCTTTAACCAAGTTCTCATTGTAAAGACTGTTGAGAATTGATGCATTAAGTGTCCCATTGGCTAGCAGAATACCCGTCAACATGGCCAGTTTGTTCCGCTCAGACTCTGAGAATCCTTTCAGGAACAGCAGCAACTGCAAGAGGAAGTAAGAAGAGTTGCCATAAAACTAGCATCTCTCACTGAAGTTCAGCTACTGCCTCCGCGTTAGACACTTTTGTTTCAGTCAAGCTATTCAACTAGCAGAAGCACTGCTACCAGTTCACTGGTAGTCTTCTCCACTAATCATACAAGCTAGCTGTTCTTGTATTAACAACTTAAGTGTTCCATGTTAATAATTCATTACATAGCTCTTCTATATAGCCTGATGAACTACCAGAATTTGAAGGTTTGTCTGCTGATAAGGACCTACTCCATACCTTTTTGACTTCATCTTCAAAGCCTTTCTCCAGATACTTGTAACGCCTGATTAGCTTGTTAAAAACCTAAAAAGATACAGAGTGTATTATTTTTGCTCTGAACTATTGTTTAATTAGAATTAAAAAAAATCAAGTTCAGTGAAGTTGGTGTGAACTCTTTAGAGCACTTCTGGCTTAGAACAGCACTACTTTACCTGTTCTAGTAAGCTTCTTAAAGCCATGCATTATTTCTACCTAAAATTTCAACAACACAAACACTGCGTTTTCTACCACTAGTTGTACTCATTTCAGAACTAACCTGAGCAAATGCTTGCATGGTTTCTAGGTCTTCCTGTGCTGCAAATACACAGACGTTTGTGCGTGTCATGTCATCTGCCAGGGTACCACCTGGGGCTAAAGAAGGGTTTCAGCATTAGTGGTATTACTTCCCAGTCAGAGTACCAAGTAGTCTCAAAAGTAAGAATTCCAATAGCCGGAACATGCAACATGTTGTCCTTTCATGATAAACTGAACGACTGAATCACTTCAGGCACGTCTGCACTTTCATCTGCTCCACATAGTGGAATGTTAAAATCAGTAGCTTAGATACAAACATTTAAATATTCTGACCCCCTACTGCTAACTGGATTGGCAATACATCTTGTTTACATGTGGGTAAGTTAACATGACCATATAAGCTGCTCTTCCTTTAAAGTAAGCCACTAAAGCTGCTTAATCCTAGCAAGTGTCTTTTTAGTGTCTGCTGCAATAGTGCTGCTTTGTAAATAACAGACTAAGTCACAGTAGAAGATGAAACACATAGAGATGCATGTTCAAAATTCAGTGCCCCACAGATGAGCTTCAAACTTCACTCTTGAAAGGCACTTCAGCTTTTTTAGCTGCTCATTACAGGATGGTTCTTCACCATTCCTCTTCAGTTTAATACTGACTGGTATCCAGGTTGCTTCACTAACTAGGGTGAATTCAAGTCACGAATTTCAGTACCAGAATATCTCATCATCAATTTCTGCGCCATCCTACATATAAGCTAGATCCTTTTGTTGTGTATTAGTCATAAATACGACTTTAAGATGGAGATAAACATCAGTGGTAAGAATATTAAAAGGTGGTAAGGCAACAGGACGCCAGTTTGTATTTTGGCCTTGCCTGACTAAAGATCAAAGCTAGTCTACTTAGCAACTTGTTACAGAGAGGGAGTTGAGTAAAGAATCCCGGTATCACCATTAATACAGCAATGCGTTTTTTCCCTTCCCCCTCATTTCTAGAAGGAATACTTCCTAACACAGCATGTACTGGTTAGGACTTTTGAATGTAAAACCACTGATTTTAACAATTTGCACATTAACGATTTCTAGCAGCGATGCTCCATGTGGCAGACAAGTTTCTTTACTCACGCTACCAGCTCTAGCATCAGCAACAGAGCCTCTTGCCAAAAGGAACATGGCAGTAACTTCAGTCTACATAACGCTGTTCCAGTACACAGCTTTGAGATAAGCAGGCACACTTCATGCATTTAAACCATTCTGAAAGCTTTGCTTTTCAGCATTTGTTTGAGGTAGTCACCTGACATTTCTATAGTATCAGTGTGAAGACCACCTGAACATACAACACATGCATCCTCCCAAACCGGCCACCCCCACGCCAAACTGCAAGCCACAGTCTGACTGTGGCCTAGAATCAGGTATTTCCTCTCCTCCCCCTACCCATTTAGGTAATGCGAATTCTATTTCTGCAACATTACAGAAAATCTTTTGCAACTGCCAAATTTCTGATTTAAGTCCTCCCCCCAACTACTGCATAACAAATACTAAAATTAGAGACTGACCTTTTCCAATGTAGGCAGACAACACACAGGGTCCTCTTCACAGCCTGTATTTTAAATGGGCCCCTGCCATCTGAACCCCTTCTCATGAAACATTATTTAGCCAAACAGGAAATATAAAGTCTAAATCTAGAAGTATTTTTTTTTTTTAACCTCATTTAGCTTCATCTGCTTCTTACCTGGTTGGTAAGCATCTGTTCCACTCTGCTTTTTACACACAGTGTGCACATGAGACTTTCGTCATCACATTTCACTTCCTCAGTTCCCTGTGTTTTCTGCTGACTTGACCACCCTCCTCTCATTTCTCACTCCTTGACATCTGCTAGACCCCATGACCTCACTATTGCCAACAAAGATTTCTAATAGCATTCTGCAAGACCAAGCACAATTCCAAAATAACAGGGTGGGGTGCACAAAGCACAGGATTGTGCCAGAACCTTTCATGGTAACTCCGCTAGGCTTGCGACCAGAGATCATGCACCTGAAACAAACATTCATACATCTCACATCAGCAGAAGTGAACTTGACTACAGCGTCAAGATCCACTCCTAGTAAAAAAAAAAAGTAAAAAAAAAAAAAAAAGTCCAATATTTTTTCCTTTAAGCCAAGTTTGTATAGTCTACTTTGAAAAATGCAAACCGACTTAAGCAAAAGTGCAGTAGGGTATACAGAGTATTTCTACAGTAATTGATTGCTCAGTCACTCACCAAGATGGTCATATAGCTTACCACAGATAACTCAAACCTTCTTCTACACATTCAAGGGGCTCTTCAGCAGAGTTTTTACAGTGAAAGGAAACAGTGAGCTTTTGCACAGTTAAGTGAATAAAGGTTGACAGCAGCCCCATCAAAGGGACTTACCCAGCATTCCACCAGCCACCAGGATATCAAAAAGCGTTTCTGCATAGCGGCGATAGTCAAGTTTGGCACCAGAAGCATCAAGAAACTTTGCTACTGCCTCCAAGTCAGTGCCAGTTTCGGTTAAACCCTGAATAATACAGTCCTGGAACTGAGTAGGGTCAAACCTCTCTTTTTCATCTGTAAAGACAAAGCATTGAAATGAAGTTGCCACACACAGCCGATTGGTTTTCAGAGACTGCAATTTTAATCTCATTAAAAAAAAAAAAAAACACGACACAAACCAAACAAAACTTGCACTGGCAAGCCTGAAGGTAAACACAACTGAGATCATTCCAGTCTTCCAAGACAACTGTTATTAACAAGCACAACAATGACTTAAGCATGTAGCCTAAAATTATTTTCAACAGCAATACAGCAGTAACAAGTTTTACTGCTTTCACTCCCCTATTCAGTCAAGGCTCAGAGAAAGGCTATCACAAGCTAAAACATTCCTTAATTACCTTTAATTGAATTCTTACAGTACTTTCAATAAGAACAACAATTGTTTGTGACTATCATTAGTTGGCTCTAATAAAGCTTACTGGACTTCTCAAGTTTGATTCGTATACCCCTATTTACACATAAGATCACTCTTCCCTTCCAAAAAGACAGGCTTACCTACATGCTGGAAGGCAACTCCTAATATGTGCCCCTACAGTTCTGTACCTTTGACTCCATTATGTTCCATTTCAATCCTTTGGGCCTCTGGCCATTTTGGACAAAATATTCTGACTGAAACGCTACACACCATTATCTTGTTAGAGCCAACTGACAATACTTGCTTTTTGGCTATGAAGACCATCCCCTCCTCTTAATATGGAGTTAAATGAGTCTGAAGCAATTGCTTCTCCTCAAGTTCGTTGAGGAAAATGTAGAAATCTGAGCTAACTTCTTAATCTTAAGTAAACATGAAACGGTGGACTGTAATCGCAGATCCTTTGCTGTTGTTAAAGCAGAACACATGCTTCTTCGCATTTAAGAGACATCAGTTTATCGTAGCCTTGTTTTCACTACAGGTAGGGCATAGTTAACATGTGAGAAATCTTCCTGTGTAAATGGTCTTCATCTTTACTCATCTCAATGTGTCCTTAGATTATGCAAACCGTGAGAGCAAAAGCTTCCAAATATGCATAACTCGGCTGCAACTCTGAGTGCTGTCTGTAACAGCTTAGCCAGTTTTGTTAGCATCTGTTACTAACCTTTCTGTAAGGGCAGACTAGTGTCCTTACACTCAGTGAAAGTATGAACATGTTGGTAACAGCTGGGTGGAAGTCTAGAAATACTGGATCAGTTATTTTCCAGGACAGATCCATGAAGCTCATTGTTACTGCAGAGATGCTCGGAAGCCTGCCGGAAAGCTAAATTCTTGAAGAAAAAACCCCAGGAGATTCAACTCTCTCACTTCAGCATTTTCTTAAGGTACTTTTACTTTACCATTAAAATAGGTTCTGTAAGTCAACACATACTTCTGTACAAATTAATTACTATTTCAGCATGTACAGCATCCTTAGTGTTGTCAGTTTGAGCTGGAACACTGCTATATATTAATAAAACAGTATTAAACAGAACAGCTGTCTCCACTTTCTCTTTAAGAAAATACCACCAAAATACTAAATTACTCATCACACCTCTTCAATCATCAACTCTTGCTTATGGCAGTAACTGTGCAATTACAGAAATAAGCACTTGCACATCTCACACTTTGAGGTTTGCTTGGGGTGAGGGGGGTTCTAGAAGTGGGGTTTTTTTAATTTATAACAGGTATTCTTATAGCATTAAGGCAAAAATGCAGCTTTTATTCAACGGCTAGCATTGAAATTCCTAAGTTAGATGCTCCCTAGATGTACGTATTAACTTGAAACAAGTCTGTGCTGGAGTTTCCCTGTAACTCAGGGGTACTAGATACTTCTGCTTTCAGCCTAAACACAGTACAGTTCTAGCATGAATGTCTCTTAAACCAAGGTTATCAGGGTATTTTCAGCTACAACTCTTACTGCCAAATATCTTTTATTAGTGCAGAGAACATACTAGCACACAAAGCTAACCTCAAGAATTGTATTTAGTGTGGTCTCATTTAAAAGACTTATGAGAACAGCATAAAGGCATCAGATCGTTTATTGAGAAAAACCGACTTTTTACTGGGGGCTGCACACGCAGCACTGACAGCAGGTACAAGCGGTATGCATACTGCAGCAAGCTTACCTCTTTTCCTAGTTTTAAAACGCTGGCCTGATAGCGTCGGTTTCTGTGGCTTTTGATTATTCATAAAAGACACCCTGAAAGGAAGCAGAAAGGCTGCTCAGGACGCCGGGAATGGAGCCCGCCCACCCCGCCGGCGGAGGGCGTCGTGTCGCGTCCGTCCCACC